ATCTGGGCATTAATGGAAGTGTAGTCTGCTTTTTTACCAGAAAGAAGATTTATTATATAATGGTCTGTTTTTAGCTTGTTGCGAAGAAGGCATTTTTCTTTTGGTTTCTAGTAAGTGGTGTCTGAGCCTCTTGGATTTCTGCTTTATATAAAGCCTTAATAATGCCTTTTTTTTCCTTATAGATGTTTAATCGCGCTCACTACTCTCAGTCTCAGTCCCTGTCAGTGTTAGCAACAGTTTTGGTAGTGTTTGCTCAGATTCCCCTGGGGATCTGCGGTGTTCAGTCTCCAAAGATATGGGGGAAGAGGCCTTTTGGATTGGGGGCGCAGGCTGCTACTCAGCCTCAGTTTTGCATCCACAGCTGGTGAAAATCAACTGTTGTTTCTCTGCTGTCCCCACTTCTCTTCCATCCCCACTTCTCTTCATTCTGCCCTGATGACTGGGCCCTGCTGCCAGCTGTGTGAAGCTCACAGCTCTCTCAGGCAGGGCTGTTCAGGGAGCTCACAGCACCTTCTCCCCTCTCCCACCTCTTAAAGCCTGCAAGAGGCAGCTTCTTTATTTTTCTCAGTCCACTGCCTGACATCCGGGGTTCTTGCCTGTGGTAGCTCTTATGCACAGATCCCACGTTCAGACATGCTGGTGTGCAGTTTTGGTGTTTTTTGTTGTGTTTTAGCTCTTCAGCTTTTTGTTGTTTCAAGGGGAGACACCTCAGGACTTCTTTCACTCCACCATGTTTCTGACATCCCACATTTCATTTAAAATCCCATTTAAATTTTCTTTGTATATATATTTTTTTGAGCCCAAAGGTTATTTAGAAGTGTGCTATTTAACTCCCAAATATTTGGAGAGTTTCTAAATATCTTTTGTTATTGATTTCTATTTTAATTTTGTGTGACCAGAAATTCATAATTTCAGTTCTTTTAGACTTATTGTGAGTTATTTTGTGGAGATCGTATGGCATTTCTGGGTGAACGTGCCATGCACACTGAAACATATTTGCTGTCTTGTTGAGTATATTGTTTTACAAAGGTCCAATAGGTCAAGGGAGTGATTGCTATTTGTTTCTTCATTAATTTTTTTGCATAGTTCTATTAATTGCTGAGAGACAGGTGTTAAGGTTTTTAACTATAACTGTGGATTTTTCTGAGTTGTCCTCTTGTTCTGTCAATTCTTATTCATATATTTTGAAGCTCTGATATTACGTACATTCATGTTTCTGTCTTTTTGGTTAATAGACCCTTTTATTTGAAAGTTGTTTTCACTGAGTATGAAATTCCAGATTCACAGTTCATTTTCTCTGCTAGTGCACTGAACCTTACATTACATCGTCTTCTATTTTTCATTGTTTCTGTTAAGTGTCAGCTATTATTCCTCATGTTCCTGCATTTCTGTTTCTCCTAGGTTTTCAGCTGGTTGACTGTGATGTGTGTGGGTGTGGTTTCCTTTGTATTTATCCTGCTTGCTTTTCACTTGACATTCCTTGATTAGCATGTAACTGTTTTTTAATTAAACTTGGAAAAATTTTGGCCATTATTCCTTCAAACCTTTTTTTCTGATTTTTTATTTCTCTCCTCTCCTCCTGGGGTCTTTCCTGAACATCAGTTGGACTGCTTGTACTTTCCCATAGCTCACTGAGGCTCCGTTTATTTTTTATAAAACTTTGTCTCTCTTTGTTTCAATTTGGAAATTTTCTGTTGACCTGTCAAGTGTATTGATTTTTTTTCTATTTTATACACCTTGAATACCATGTTTAATTGGAGAATGTGTGTGTTTTAGTTCTTTCCTGTATTTTATAGTTTCCATCTCTTCTGTAATTACCTATATCCTCATTATATTTTCTTCTGTTTTTCCATACTTAGAGTTTCTTAAAGTCCTGGTCTGCTAATTCTAACATCTGGGTCATCTTTGAGTTGGTTTCTCTTGACCACGGGTTATAGTTTGCAGTTTCTTCATGTGTCTGGTAATTTTTTATTATATACTGGACATTGTGGTTTGTACACTAGATTTTATTGCCTTCCTCTGAAGAGTGTTTTGTTACAGCAGCCTATTAGATTACTATCAGATCACCTAGAGCTTATGAAGTTTAGCTTCTGGCTTTGTTAAAGGAATTTATTTCAGATTATTCTTTGTGAGTTTGCTCTGCACACCCCCCACCCTCCAATCTGAGATAGAACTTCTTCTGTTTCACTCAAGGAAGCACCCATTTATTACAGGCAAACCCTTTCATAATAAGAACAACAATTATGAAATGATTTAACCACTTTTAACAAAAACCATAGGGGAAAAGAAATGTTAACTTCCTACACAATGCATAACTCCATTTGAATTTTGACATTGATTACTTTTCAACTTCAAAGGAGCCTTGTTCCTTTTAAGATTATTTATTATTTATATCCATAAATTTTCTAAGTTTTTCTTCAGCTCTGTCATTCTTCAAAGTTCCCAAACTATGCCAGAGAAAGATAAAACATAATTCTGTTTGAAAATATAAAGTGATTCCTACTTGTTTTCTCAAAATTCAAAAACCTGAAGGACATCATTTTCTAACCACTTCTGTTTGTGTTTTGGACATTCTCTAAAACTCATTTTGTAAGCTGTGAATGAGATGGAATGGCCTTGAGCTCATTCTCAGCATGTCTTTCCAGCACCCCTGTTGCTCTCCCCATCCTGTGGGTGCCTGACCAGTGGCCAGGGAGAAGTCCACACGAGGGAGGAGCCCACCGTGAGGGAACAGATTTTCCATTTCTTGACTCCTGAAGCAGAGAAAAGAAATTGTCATTCTTGTGGGGTCATCCCAAGGGACTGATTGAATCAAATCTCATACCCTAGGCATAGATGACATTAATCAGAGCACACACATCTTAATGGTTTCCTTGGCAGAGCAGGCAAGTGTCCTGAACCCAACCTGCAAACTGACACATAGCATAAACTTCGAGGCAGAGCTGACTATAGTTGAGTTGGTGTGTCTGGCAAGTATAATCATTGGTTTTAATTTAATCAACAGTTAACTCCAGCTCACAGAGTGAAAGAGGTGGGTTAGATGTGTATTGTTAGCACATGTGCTTGCCTATTTAAACTATATTTAAGGAATCCTTGACCCAAAGAAAGTGAACTTGAGAGAAAGGGCTTCTGGCTCTTATTGATGCCAGGATCTCCTTCCTTAGATTTTATGGCTCTAGATCATTTTTCATTTTTTTGTTTGTTTATTTTTGTTTTTTAAGAGAGTTGTTTTCTTCAGGGACTGAGAACACAGCAGAGGAGAGAGAATCAGGCAGAGGCAGCTAAAGAGAGGGTGTTCTACCAGAATCTTTGAGTCCATTGTTACAAGCCTCCAGATTTTACACTTATGAGGTAGCTGGGTTGGAGATTTATAATGCATGCAACCCCATTTCTGTTTGGAGATGGTCAGAATCAGTGTATGGTGGAATGACAAGTGTTGTTAGGCTTATGGGCAGGTTACAGATTTGCTAGAAAACAAGTGACTTCATTACAGGCCTGAGCACTTATCCCTGGAGCCTCAGACCCCCTATCTTTGCTACCCAATAGACAACAGCCCTAGTATATCTGCTGTGCCCCAGTTGTCTCCTTGGAGCATTCTGAGGACCACTTTAAAAAGCATCTGGGTACTTAGAATGACTGATCTCATTGGCTGAATGCAGGTCTGACAGTTTCTACAAAAAATTTAGCCCAGACCTCAAATGGGGCTTGTGCAGGATGTTCCCTACAGGCGTTGGGAAGTTCAGACTCCAGGGCCAAGAGGGAGACATGCTTACGTGAGTCTCCCTTTGTGTCTCCATATTTAGACACGTGGTCCGTCCCCCATATTTACACATGTGGTCTATCTAGTAATGACGAGGTTATACCTCTGTGGTATAATAAGCACACTTTCTGGTGCAAATTCCATGAGGGCAAGCCTTTGTGGAATCCCCTTCACTGCTTTTCTCTGTTTCAAAGATTTCTCTCCTATAATTTAAAGGTAGAACACAGTTTCTGGATTATTGTCATTTTCATTAAAGCCTTGCTTGCAAACAGCAGAAGTATATAGGGGCGTGCCAGCAGTGTTTCTGTTGTAGCTTAAGGGTGAGATGAAACATGTTAACCTTTAACATTCTGTGTGTATTTGTACATGTACATATACCCACTCATGTGTACGCTTCAGGTTTATAATGTCTTTTACACTTAGTCCTCTCTTAGTGCCATCCTCCCTTAAAGATGCTTGTTTTTTAAAAAGTTAATAGACTTTATATTTTAGAGCAATTTTAAATTTGCAGAAAAATTGAAGAGATAGTACAGAGAATTCTTGTGTACACACACACACACACACACACACATCTGCACATACACAGTTTCCCCTATTAGTAACATCTTGCATTAGTCTGTTGCATTTGTTACAATTGATGAATCAGTGTTGATGCATTTATTATTAACTAAAGTCCATAGTACATTAGGGTTCATTCTTGGTGCTGTACATTCTATGTTTGAACAAATGTACAATGACACGTATTTACTATTATAGCATCATACAGAATAGTTTCAATGCCCTAAAAGTTCCTTCTGCTCCACCTAGTCACCCATGAGATCCCCCCAACATCTCTAGCAGCCACTGATCTTTTTACTGTCTCTATCGTTTGCCTTTTTTTAGAATGTTATATAGCTGGAATCATACATGTGGAGCCTTTACAGATTGGCTTCTTTCACTTAGCAATATGCATTTAAGATTCCTCCATGTCATTTCTTTTTGGCACTGAATAATATTCCACTGTCTGGAAGTACCACAGTTTATTATCCATTCACCTACTGAAGGATATCTTGGTTACTTCCAAATTTTGGCAGTTATGAAAAAAGCTGTATGCAGATTTTTGTGTGGATATAAGTTTTCCATTCATTTGGGTAAATACCAAGGAACAAGATGGCTAGATCATAGGATGTTGGACTTGAAAAGAAAAGCCATCAGGGTGCTCAGCACCTTCTGGTGCGCTTACAGCCTGTGTTCTTCTCAGAGACGATGACCACGAGGACGGGTTCTGCCAGCCTTACCGGGGCATCGCCTGCGCCCGCTTCATTGGGAACCGGACCATCTACGTGGACTCCCTCCAGATGCAGGGAGAGATCGAGAACCGAATCACAGGTGGGAGTGTGGGCCCTCCGTATGAGACAGTGAGCCTTTGTGCGCCCCCTCACTGCACAGAAGCTCCGGATGTGTGTTTTGTCACTAACTTGGATAGTGCATCCCTGCTCCATGTCTCTTGCAGTAGAAAGTCAGAGACCTTTTTTAGAATAGTGGCAATGGTTTACCCTATTTGTGTGTTTAAATTAGCAAGTGCAGATTGCTTAGTCTTCATGTCTAATACATTCACTTAAGCCAACCCTGTGGGTCCGAAGCCCTGAGTTGTCCTCACTGCATCTCCAGGGTCTCTTGTCCCAGGGCCAGCCACCCTGATGCAGGCAGCCCGGCCCATGGCAATCACTCTGCTTGACTTTAGTGTTCTGTCTTACACCACTGTGCACCCTTGGTGAAAAGGTACACAAGCCTGATTTCAGCCGTTTGGGAGAAAGGTTTCAGGCCATCAGCCATGTGTGGGGATGCTGCAGTGAGCTCAGGCCTATGTCAGCCCTCAGCTCCCAGGACAGTCAGGTCTTCAGGTGCTGGCTTCACAGCATGAGAAATAGAGCAGAGCATTCAGGAATGAAGCTGCTCGTCCTCCATCTCATTAGGAGTTACCATCTCTGGTTGGTTGTTAGCTTCAACACACTGACTTTTACACGTTAATGTAAAGGTATTCTTTGGGGAAATCCCTTGAGAACTGAGAAAATGAATTAAATCAAAGCTCTGCAAAGCCTTCTTCCTCCTGTTTCTGGTCTCTCCACAAACATGTACATGTTTCTTCTCTCCACAAGAAACCAGGAAAATCTTGTGAAGAAGGCAGGTGTCCTAGCTTAACTGGGTTCTCTACACAGTAGTTTTTGACCCCAACTACCTACTAGCATCACCAGCTGACATCTGATGCTGGGCTCCCCAGGAGAGTTTGTTAGGGCTTGCAGAGGGCCTTGCAAAGCATTGCCCTGGTAAGGGGCAGGAATGGCCTCCTAGGCAGAAACTCATGTAGGTGCCCTTGAAATGTCCTTCTACATTTAGGGTGTAGACTTGTCTTTCACCCTCAGTCTGGAGAGTCTAAGGTCATGGTCACAGAAGGGTCTGCCTGGCCTATGGTTACAGAGCCCCCTGAGGCCAGGACCAGGTGTCTAGTGGGAAATGAAAGGGCAGCAATAGGACCTAGAGGATCCTGGAAGACACCATGTTGGTCCAATGGGAGAATGTTTTGAAAACGTTGCTATCTCTCGTTGGGAAAGCTTTTTATACTATTTAAAGCAGAACTTCTCAAACCAGAACTTCTCAACCCTTTGGACCACAACACTCAGTAAAAGATATACTTTACATCGTAATTTAGTATACAGTACATGTATTTAATAGAATTGAAATCAGTTACAGGAAATAACATTCACCCTTTACAAAAGCAGTGTACTAGGTATTTTTCTCTTCAGTTTTATTTTATTAAAGAAAAAAGTTGGTTGCAGCCTTAATATGAACTATGTACTCTGACATCTTCTGTTCTGTTCTAATTTTTACCGTTTAAAATGGTAGCTGCAGACTCCAGAATTAATTTTTACATCCCACTAATTTGCAAACACTGATTCAGGCACAAAATTGTTTCTCAGTTATTTTTTCAGGAATTGTTTAAAGGATAAAGCAACTTATATATCTAAGCAGACTGATTGTATAGCAGTTTTTAGATAAAAGTTTAGAATGAGGATTCTCTAGATTTGTGGGTTTTTGAAAAAAATAGGTTTGAAAGTGCTTTAGACTGCCTGACTTGCAGTTTAGAGACTGCATTGGTTGTGATGTTCGGATCAGAGAGCATGCTTGTCGGAACTAGCTCCCCAGACTCTGGAAGCTTCCCAGGGAATGGACCTAAAGAAACCTTCAGAATTAGATGCAGGGCGTGGACGAAAGTGAGGATATGAGTTGTTGGACACCCTCTGTGCCTAGAACCATATTTTCAGAAATAAGCCCTCACATGAGACTCCTGAGGGAGAGTAGAGGAGAAGGAATCCTAAGAGGGTCAGCTGTGGCATCCCATCGATTGATTACCCCAAAGAAACACCAGGTTTGGCCTTCTTAGACAATTTTTCCCTGCTGGAGGTCAAGGCCAGCATTTGCAACCGTTGCTAACTCCACAACGATGGGACTGAACTGGGTTCACACCTGGTTCTTCAGCCAACTCCGAAAGGCCCTGCACCTTAACCTCTTACACCTCTGTTCTTCAGTTTTAATATTAGCCAGAAGTGACCAGAAAGACTGAGGGCAGTGTGACCTGCACACCACGGAGTGCCTGACACAAAGCACTAGATGCAGTGCGGGGACACAGCTGTTAATCCACCTCATGGACCATTCGCCTCACTTGCTATTTTATAAGCTTCATGTGGGCTTTCATTCCCTAACGTGGGATCTCGGCAAATCACTAGATAGATGAAGACACAGGCCCAGGAAGGGCTAAGTGACCAATTTCCCTATAGTAAATAATGGGGTTAAGGCCAGAACTGCTCTCTCACCCAGTTCATCTAACCTGGAGCCTGCCAAGTGTGCTTGGTGGGTCTCGTGGGGATAATGGGCTCCAGCAGCACCATCTTCTGGCAAAATTGGGCACTACAAGTCATGGATGGCACTGTGGCATCCCAGGAACTAAATTCCAACCTCTCAAGGTGTACAGGCAAAGGGGCGTCTCTTTAGCTGTCCAAGATCATACCATTATGAGCAGGTACTTCACAGGTTGAAGTAGAGTGGATCTTCTGGCTGATGGCTTCCTGTGAGCCCTGACTGTGACAGCCTTCCCTCCTGCCACTCTGCACCGACCTTGTCCCTACAGCTCCTGCCCCCTTCCTTTCTCCATGTCAAGTGTCAATTGTTCTCCCTCTCGGCTGGTTCATTCCTATCACACTCCCATTTTGTGATGTTTTGCCCCTCAAAAGCAAACCAACCAGCCCTGGCTCAGCCCCTCCTGCTAGGGCTGCTTCTCCTCTCCCCTTCATCACAAAACTTTCCTCACGCGTAAGCCTGCCCTCACCCCACTTTCCAGTCGTTCCTTGCTCTCCCCAGCACACCACCTTAGGTGTCCCTTTCTTCCTGCCACTCCGTCATCTGATCCCTCCTCCTGCATTTCTCAGGGCCAGCTATCCATCTTTTCCGCACACTCTTTTCCTCTCTTCCGTCCCTAGTGAGCCCTCCCCAGGCTACTGCATCCTCACCTGCAGGTTTGGGGATGTCGGGAGACCAAGGCCTGCCTGGCCCTTGTGCCTCCTCCAGTCTCTTCTTCTAGAAACCACCCAGCCCACAGGTTCACCCACCGCCCTTCGCTGGCAGAGCCCCCAGTTCAAATCAGGGCCTGAGGAAGTGGCTTTTGGGTCTGAAGCGGGAATCTTCCTGTCATAAAAGAAGCCTATAGCTGAATGAGATCTTGGGCCCAGTTCTTTTTTGTTCTGCTTTTTTTTAGTAAATGTTTGTAAATGAAGCCTAGGACCTACTACATCTAGTGCAAATCTGAGTGGCTCACGTGTTCTTGGGGCCCTGCTCCTGTGAGAGCCTCCCCAGGGGTGCTGAGGATACAGGGTGGAGGGCTGGAGGCACCGGTGGGTGGGGCGGGGTGCCCACCACCTTAACGCAGTCTCACGCCTCCGCAGCGGCCTTCACTATGATAGGCACGTCCACGCATCTATCGGACCAGTGCTCGCAGTTCGCCATCCCGTCCTTCTGCCACTTCGTGTTCCCACTGTGCGATGCACGCTCCCGGGCGCCCAAGCCGCGTGAGCTGTGCCGCGACGAGTGCGAGGTGCTAGAGAGCGACCTGTGCCGCCAGGAGTACACCATCGCACGCTCCAACCCGCTCATCCTCATGCGGCTGCAGCTGCCCAAGTGTGAGGCGCTGCCTATGCCGGAGAGCCCCGACGCCGCCAACTGCATGCGCATCGGCATCCCGGCTGAGCGGCTGGGCCGCTGTGAGTACCCCCGGCGCGCCTCCACTGGGGACCCTCTTCGGTCTGGGGAGGTGCACAGCCCAGGGCCGCTATTCCAGTAAAACCGTCAGTAGGACTTAAGAGCAGGGATTTCAGTCACAGCTCCAGGCCACACCCAGCTATCTTTGGGGCAAAAGTAAGTCACTCCACCTGTCGGAGCCTTAGACTTCATTCTGTAAAATGGAATAATCTCTGTGCCTGCCCACCACAAAAAGCTATTAGGGGCATGCGGGGGATAGGGCCAGCTTCCAAACCTGCCTTGTGATCCACAGCACCTCTCACTGACTAGGTCAGGCCTATACCCTTGTCCAGGGGCACCCAGGGAAGGAAGAGGCCACCTTCCTCTGGGGCTCAAGGCTCCAGGTTGCAGTCACTCTTTATGCCAGGCTGGGGTCCCAGGGGTGCGGCAGGGTACTTCCAGGCTGTCTAAGCCTGGTCTGCTGCTCCACTGCCCTCGTGGCTGTGGCCGAATCCTGGCTGCAGGGCTTACTCAATATGACCTGGGACAAGTTGCTTCAATACCATTTCCTCATGTTACATGGGAATTATAACTACTAACCTCAGGAGTTGGAATGAAGATTAAATGAGTTAATATTTAGAAAGTTCTCAGAACAATGCCCAAACACAGCAAGCACTCTGTAGCCGTTGTTCAGCATATGCACATTCCAGGGTCTGGCTCAGAGAGGGCTCGCCATCTCCCCCATGGAGGTGGAGTGATGCATGTGCCCCAACTGGGTCCTCCCTGGGTAGCAAGGGGCGTCTGAGGTGCAGGCCAGGCCTGGCACTTTCTTCTTCCTTCCTACACAGTTTGCTTTTGCTTCGAGTGCAGGTGAATATGAGGCTGGTGTTGACATCCTCAATTGTGGAGTGCAGGGTCCCTGTTGGGTCCCAAAGGTGGTTTCACGGTCATGGAATAACTTCTGACAGGTTTTCTTTCCCATATATGTCCCTGATGCACCCTCAATTTAGTGAGTTTGGGACTTTATTAGGTCATTATTTTTAATGTGCTTTTCTTAGAAGTTATGTAAAATCCTTTGGTCTTTTGGAAACTCCACTTTGAGTACATGCAGGCAAAGTGGTTTGTTGTCCTTTCAGGAAGAGCTGAATAAGGGCGCTCTCTATGCCTGTGAGGATGGCTACTTCCTCTTGATTTTCATGCCTTCTAATACATCTTTTCTCTTAGACCATCAATGTTACAATGGCTCGGGCACGGATTATAGAGGGACGGCGAGCACCACTAAGTCAGGGCACCAGTGCCAGCCGTGGGCCCTGCAGCACCCCCATAGCCACCACCTAACCAGTGCAGACTTCCCCGAGCTCGGAGGGGGACACGCCTACTGCCGGAACCCTGGAGGGCAGATGGAAGGGCCCTGGTGCTTCACGCAGAATAAAAACGTACGCATGGAACTGTGTGACGTACCCTCTTGTAGTATGTATTCTCTCTCATTTTTTTAAAGTGTTGACTGTTGAGTGCACTTTGTGATGACGTGAGACTAGGTGGTTGGTGGCTCTGGGTACTATCCCCGTGATCATTTGTTTTAAATAAAATTGTTACTGGTTATGAAAGTAATATCTGGTCATTATAGGACGTTTTAAATTATAGAAAAGTCTGAAAAATCATGTGCAAATCACCCCTAATTTCCTCGCTCAGTGAAGATTGCTGTTTGCGTTTGGGGGTGCTTCTGTCAGCCCTTTTCCCAGTTTGTATTTTGTTTCTCCATTAACATTGTCACATAATATTTCCCAATATTAATAATCATGCTCCCCATCACAGTTACAAGCAGCTCCTAAGTCCGGCATCTGCAATTGGAGGCAGCTCCTGTGCTCCTCCTCCCCTCGCTTCCTACTGTGCTCAGCTTTTCTCACAGACTTGTCAGAGTGAGGAAAAAATAGAACTTAAATCTCTTAACTATTTTCCCTGCAATCTCTGTTAGATTATAAATAGGAGAAGAATGTGTAGTTAATGGTTGTGAACTTTACAAACATCATTATCTCTGTGTTCCAATATTTACGCTGCACCAGCTCCAGTCGGCCTGGATACCTGAGACTGGGCTGCCTTCTGAGTCTTACATTTTGGAACCTGGGGTCAGAGGGTTGGTGGAAAATTACTGGGAAAAGATTGATAAAAAAAGGTTAATGGGTGAAGCAAACCAAGGCTCACCATTCATCTGGAAACCTGTCCTGGTGGCCAGCATGCCTCAGCTCTGCCAGTGAGGGGAGTGAAGACCTATGTTCATTACCTTCTCCAGGTCCCAAATTTGGCACTCCCTTTCATTCAGCAGTTCACGCACAAATCCTCAGGAATATGTGTTCATTGCAAAAGTAAATTTTAAGAATGAAAATGTCAGTAGTTAGATTATAGTGTAGCTACTCAGTGGAATACTCCAGTGGTTTAAAAATTTCCTACAAGAAAGGATGTCCATGATGTCCTGTTAAGGGAGAAAAGCAAGTTGTAGGTCAATAGTTGTCTTATGCCTGCTCGCTCGCTTGCACCCTCTCTCTCTTTCTCTCTCTTTCTTCCTTTCTCTTTCCTTCCGTCCCTCCCCTTTTCTTTCTCTTTTTACAAAAACAAAAATGAGCAAAAAGTGTATATGTGTGTGTATGTGCACACATAAGCACCTGCATTTCACAGATGACGTTTTGAAATGATACACACCAAACTTTTAGCAGTGATTTTCCATGATCTACAGAAATGTTAAAAGATGTTTTTATAATGAGCAGTTATTACTTTTGTAACACAAACTAAATCAAAACAAAGAAGAATATGTCCTTTGACCTGGCAATTTGCAGGACTCTTATATTGCAGAAATATTTATACTTAGAGGGCAGAAATGCAATATTTATTGCAGAATCACTTTTAATAGCTAAATAATAAGCAGACTAATTGTTTACCAGTTAAGCAACTAGTGTTGGTGATACCATGGAATCATGTGTAGCTGTTGAGGAATGCCTAGAACTGTCTGTCCTGTAGGTAACATCTGAGATAGATTATTTTGCCACAAAACCAGGAGCATGGAAACATGGATGGATATGATTTTATTTAAAATGAATTCTATTAAAAAAAAAAAATGGAACTGCCACTTCTGTATGTCAAAATAGTTGAATATTGGTTATTTCATGTTCAATTTAAAATATATATAAAACATTGGATGAATCCCAACCTATTAACAATGGCAGAGTCTTTGGTGAAATAGGCCATTAGGAATGTTCACTGTTCTGTATGCTACAACTATTAATAAGCATGTGTTCTATTGGTGGTTTTTAAAAGATATTGATAAAATAAATGGTTGTACAAGTGTTTGGATGGTGCCCACACCTCTGATCTTGACTTGAGGGGCGTGGATTATCCCCCACCCCTAATCATGAAAAATGACAGAGTCTCTCCTGCCCCCAAGGCTTCTAGAACATCTGCCTCCTGCCTCCTGGGCCAGGAGCGTTTTGTGTGTGTTTTTATTTTATTTTGGATGCTGGAAGGCCAGATTAGGTTTGAGACAATGTAGTTTTTTTTTTTCTTCTTCTTCTTCTTCTTCTTTTTTTTTTTTTTTTGACTATTAGAAGTGAGTTAGCTCTTTCAGAAACCACACTGACCAGAAATCACTTATTGGCTTTCAGACGGAGAGTTCATTACCCACTAATCATAGGGGCACCCAAGTCCCATGTAACTGTTCATAAGATTAAGGAGAAAACTGCAGGAGGATTGGAAAGGTGGCCCTTTTTTCTTGATCTTAGCCAAAAGGCCAAGAAGCAATGAAAGTGGCCCTTTTTGGAAGAGGGTTCTGCCTCCTACAAGGGAACACCCCACCTCCACCAGCTCTGCTTCTGATTGAGTCAGCCCTGCTGCCTGGTGCCCTGTGTGCCCGCTGCATGTCTCTGTGAGTCCTGTAGGGGGAGACAACGCGCTGTTCTTGGAAAAATGGAAGAGATGCCTGGAATCCTCCTCAGACTGTACATCTCACCACCATTCCTCCAGAATTCATGTGCCCCTGGTGCATGTTGTATTGGGTCAGACTCATCATCCACCAGTGCTCTTTCAAATCAAGTGCGCTTTTAATCATTCTAAACGAATATGTTGATTATACAAAATTTGAACAGTCCTAAAATACTGAATGAAGAAAAAAGTCATTTCTAATCCCAGTATCAAGTTTCCTTCTGCAAGGACAAGTGTCAGACATGTTTCATCAAGTTTTGTAAAGATGAAATTGGGCAGAGCACCTGTTCCAAGTGGTGTTTGAGCATTAGGGAGGAAGAGCAACGCTGCTTAGGACACTCTAAAACCTTTAGAGTTCGTTTGTCTTCTGTGGTCTGTATTCCAATTTGTTTCCATGCGGGGCAGTTCTAGATTGGTCTCACAAATTGATCACAGGATGTGCATTTTTCTGTGCATTGCCTTTTTTTTTTTTTAAGTTTGGTGTGTAATTTTGTCCCCTTGTGCAACTGACCTGATTATCTGCTTGTGCTTAAATATTGTAGTTGGAGGTGGAAGTAGGCTGGCGGAGAACTTGGAATTGGAAGGGGGGATGTGTTCTGAAAACTCATGGAAGCCTTGCTGTTCACAGGTCCCCAGGACGGCAGCAGAATGGGTATTCTGTACATCCTGGTTCCAAGCATTGCCATCCCCCTGGTCATTGCCTGCCTTTTCTTCTTGGTCTGCATGTGCCGGAATAAGCAGAAGGCTTTGGCTTCCACGCCCCCACGCCGGCAGCTGACGGCCTCCCCCAGCCAGGACGTGGAGATGCCCCTCATCGGCCAGCACAAGCAGGTCTCCAAGTTTAAGTGTTTAAGAGGGTGGCATCTCCAGGCTCACCCTCTGCCTGCCACATTAGCTTTCTCAGTTTAGTTCAGGCACAACACATAACTTTTCTAAACTGTCTTCATTTTGCTGTTTCTTCTCAGAAACATGTCAGCACATTTGTGTCCTTAGAAAATACATAGTAAGATTGTTTGGAATCTGCCATCCCAGTTGGTGAGCTTCTCCCTCTGCCCAGACCTGCCATGACTGAGCCTTCCTCTCTCTGCAGTGCTTAGGCTGTCCCCACAGTGGGACACCGGAAAAAGGGCTCAGGTTGCCCCCACCACTTGAGGGTCAATATTGCATTTTTAAGGGACCGGGAGATGTTTTCTCTTCAGTTTTGGGGTTGGGTTGGTTTTGCTTTGTTTTCTTTTTCAGAGAAGGACAGAGCAATAGTCTTATAGAGGAAGTGGGGAGCAGGCCCACCCCACTGTAACAGTTGTCAGGATGGTGAGGACACACTGAAATTCAGCATGGGAAATGTCTGTCACAGCCTCTCAGCCTAAGTGAAAGGACATTTACATTACTTACAAGCTTTGTTGGAAAAATCATTCCCTTGCGGGCTTTGAAGGGAGAGGATGGACTCCCTTCAGCTCTGTTGCTAAGTGTCACTCAGTGTTTGGGGAAACGGATGGTGGTGGCTGGGTTCAGGGAAGCTCCAAGAAGGGTGGCAGCCAGATGCATAGAAGGGGCAAAAACCCTAGAAGCTGAGAGGTGCAAGGTTCACATCGATTTCACCCAATGGCGATGCCATCAAAATGCATCTAATTGAGAATCAAATCAAGAGGAAGCGGTGAGACAGGCCCACTGAGGAGCAACCAGAGAACAGCTGGCCTAGGCTTTGTAAATGAAATTGTGGGTGACATACCTCAAAGTTTCAGAGAAATAGACATGGATCTCCCTGTGCTGAGCAGTGATGGCTAATCCTCCTTGGCGGGCACAGGAAAGGCCCTGGGTGTGGGGACCCGGCGGGAGAGTGCAGCGGTGACTCTGGGATAGCTGGAGCTCAGCTTGGCTGTGTGTGTTTGAATAGGTGTGCACACACACTGCCATGGCATCTCAGCTGTACTTGGGTGGGGGGAGGGACATAATTTACAGCCTGACTGGGACCTGCTAAAGGCTTCAGGCAGCCGCATGGCATCAGGGCATGCCAAGAGCAGTGTGTAGAGCAGGCCAAGCCAGGGAGGAGCAGAACCAGTGGGTCCTCTGCAAGGCTATGCTGGCAGGCAGCATTAGACCTGGCCCTTCCAGAGCCCCTGCCAACTTCCCTGCTCTTCTTTTTCTAGTTTTGTTGGCAGAAACGTTTCACTGGGGCTTTTCTTCTTGGCAGGCCAAACTCAAAGAGATCAGCTTGTCCACGGTGAGGTTCATGGAGGAGCTAGGGGAGGACCGCTTTGGGAAGGTCTACAAAGGCCACCTGTTCGGCCCAGCGCCAGGGGAGCCCACCCAGGCCGTGGCCATCAAAACGCTGAAGGACAAAGCAGAGGGTCCACTCAGGGAGGAATTCCGGCATGAAGCCATGCTGCGGGCTCGGCTGCAGCACCCCAATATTGTCTGCCTGCTGGGTGTGGTGACCAAGGACCAGCCCCTCAGCATGATCTTCAGCTACTGCTCACATGGTGACCTCCACGAGTTCCTGGTCATGCGCTCCCCGCACTCAGACGTGGGCAGCACAGATGACGACCGCACAGTGAAGTCGGCCCTGGAGCCCGCCGACTTTGTGCACGTGGTGGCGCAGATCGCATCGGGCATGGAGTACCTGTCCAGCCACCATGTGGTGCACAAGGACCTGGCCACCCGCAACGTGCTTGTGTATGACAAGCTGAGCGTGAAGATCTCGGACTTGGGGCTGTTCCGCGAAGTGTACTCAGCCGACTACTACAAGCTGATGGGGAGCGCACTGCTGCCCATCCGCTGGATGTCCCCCGAGGCTATCATGTACGGCAAGTTCTCGGTAGACTCGGACATCTGGTCCTACGGCGTGGTCCTGTGGGAGGTCTTCAGCTACGGCCTGCAGCCCTACTGCGGGCACTCCAACCAGGACGTGGTGGAGATGGTGCGCAGCCGGCAGGTGCTGCCCTGCCCCGACGACTGCCCTGCCTGGGTGTACGCCCTGATGATCGAGTGCTGGAATGAGTTCCCCAGCCGGCGGCCCCGCTTCAAGGACATCCACAGCAGGCTCCGGGCCTGGGGCAACCTGTCCGCCTACAACAGCTCAGCACAGACCTCGGGCGCCAGCAACGCCACACAAACCAGCTCCCTGAGCACCAGCCCGGTCAGCAATGTCAGCAACACCCGCTACGGTGGCCCTAAGCCCAAGGCCCAGCCCTTCCCCCAGCCACAGCTCATCCCCATGAAGGGCCAGATACGACCCCTGGTGCCCCCTCCACAGCTCTACATCCCTGTCAACGGCTACCAGCCAGTGCCGGCCTACGGGGCCTACCTGCCCAACTTCTACCCCGTCCAGATCCCGATGCAGATGGCCCCTCAGCAGGTGCCTGCTCAGTTGGTCCCCAAGCCCAGCTCCCACCACAGTGGCAGCGGTTCCACCAGCACGGGGTACGTCACCACTGCGCCCTCCAACACGTCCGTGGCAGACAGGGCAGCCCTGCTCTCTGAGGGAACCGAGGACACGCAGAACGCCCCTGAAGACGCTGCCCAGAGCCCCGTGCAGGAAGCAGAGGAGGAGGAGGATGGCTCTGTCCCAGAGACTGAGCTGCTTGGGGACAATGACACTCTGCAGATGGACGAGGCTGAGGTCCAGCTGGAAGCCTGAGGGGTGCGGGGCTGCGGGGTGCTCACAGGTAACTTCAGCTGCCTTGAGAAGTGAGCCCCAGTCACCCATGAGCTGGTTTGTAGCCTCATCCCCATGATATCTCACTCCTGCCATCCTCTCGTGCACAGAACTGCAGCTGCAGCAGCCCATTGGGTTGCAGCAACTTTTAGCTCGTGGCGCCCAATGCACAGTGACCCCCAACATCTGCATTTCTTCAGAAGAGGATGGGTAGTAAGCAGTGCCTGTGCTTTGAAGGAAAATAGGTGGCGTCTTCCCTCTACGTTGCACATGGATCCAGTATTGCAGACCCTTGAGACAGTCGGCCTGTGCAGGGCAGCGAGGTGGGACTTGAGCTTCGGAATTCCCAGCGACTGGCTGCTGGTTGCCGTGGGGGAGCTCCGTTTCTCTCTGCTGCCCCCTGCCGGTGGTAGCTCCCCCTTCAGCTGCCTAAGATCGGCGGGAGCAGGACGCTGCCGCCTGCCATGGTCTGGAGAAAGGGGCTTCTGAAATGGGAGTTCGTTTTAAAACAAATGTGCCTTAAAAAAAAAAAAAAAACTGAGACGATTGTGAAATGTGTATTTTGCCCACTTTCCTGGAATTCGAGGGAAAGTGTTTTTTGGCTTTGGAATGTTACAAAGGAAACAATATTGTACAGAGCACAGTATTGTTTGTTTTCTTAGAATCATGTACAGACCTTAAATGTAATTTATATGGTTTTTGTATGCCATTTTCATTGAAGTATTTTGAGCTTAAAATAATGACTTAGTAATTTAACTGTTTACCTTACCCACCTGGGATGCCACCTGATTGTATTTTGGTTGCTTGTGTTTGTAGCCATGAAGTGAGGTCCGTTTATTTCAGAGCGCCTGTGAGAGAAGACCCACGGCACACTGTCGGGCGCACGGGGCAGCTCCCACGTGTAACTCCCACACCTGGTGTATCCAATAAAGCGGAACAACGTTTGCTCGGCTCTCTGCAGCTTGTGAGGCTGTCAGGCAGTGCGGGGGCGGGGGTTTGTGATGAGGGAGACCCCCCGACTGATGATGTGGGCTGAGCCCTTGCAGCGGGGTGAGAGAGACCCCCTGACTGACGATGTGCGCTGAGCCCTTGCAGCCTGGGTATCTTGTCCAGGATTAGGAATGTGGATGTTATTGGCAGATAAATGATGGAAACATTTGCTTGATGACATTGCTTTCTCTGTTAAGATCTTGGGGTGAATTAGTTGATGATGTAAGATTGGTCTTTGGTTTTAAACTTCTCCCCTTTTGAGGTCCCAGAGCCCCCAATGTTTTTAGACCTGGAACTTGGTACTTCCCAAGGCACTGGAGCAGTGCTGGGGGGCGGGTGAAGCCATGAGGAGAATGGGCCTCCTTCACCAACCTGCCTGGTGTTTCCTGCGCCCCTACCTGTCAGCAGTGCGGCCTGCTGGGCCAGGGTCACCTGGGGGGTCAGTAGCTCCTGGGCTTCCAGGCAGGGGAGGGGCATTGTAACATAGGCACAGCTTGGGAGAGGTCTGGCAGAGCTTCTGCCAGCCAGCCAGCCAGCCAAGGCCCCTGCTTCCCCAGAGCCTGGCCCTGCCTGGAGGTGGGCTGAAGGCTTCTGTGGTTACTGCAGTGGGTCCACAACCCTGGGGCCAGGAGAAGCTCAGGTAGAATTTGTTTCACATGCTTAGGCAGGAATTCTTTAGCCTGTAGCAGAGACTTTTGAAGGGCTTGTTACAGAACAGCCCTGCCTTCCCTGCTCCCAGGCCAGACAGGATGGGGCCACAAAAGTGTGGTTCTAATAAGTGCCCAGCGGGTGCTGATGCTGTGGTCAGGGGACCCGCTGAGGGCCACTGAACACAAAATTGATTGGTGCCAACTGTCCAGCACCTCAGACCATCCTGAATTTGAGTCTATTGGGTACACCCCTCACCCATTGCTTTGTTGTTAGCATAATGCTGCTCCTGGATAGAGCCATACACACAAATAATGAGATAAAGTGCCTGAGCGTATTCTAAAACCAGGTCGGGACTCTTCTCTGCTGGGCAGAAGGAATTGATATAATGGTGATAAGGACTGGGAGCCCCCAGCCCCTCACTGCAAGTGTGGTCCTGCTACATATGGAAAGGGCTCAGAGTTGAATGGAGCTACTTCTCATTTCCTGACCTGAAAGAGGAACTTAATTTTATCTAGAATGTGGTACACCTGATGGTTTAACTTTTCAGTTGAGACCTGAGAGTGAAAAATAGGAAATAGCCCTTTGGCACTGTCTCCTCAGGCACAGTCAGGGAAGCCAACCCCCACAACAGTCACAGCCCCCAGCCCCCAACAGGAACCTGAAGCAGGGGGCGCTGACATCAGAGCCAGCAGCAGAGATTCTGCAGAAACACTTTGGGAGAGTGTTTCGGCAGAGCGGGAGAGGTTTTAATTGGGGGGATTTTTTTTTTTTTAGCTAAATATAGCGTTTGTTTGTTACCGCTCATTCTAATTGTAAAATCTTGATACATCTTTGGGGAGGTTATTGAGCTTTTAAAATTGGTGGAGTTAAACAAAAGTTACTGAGTTGGGATGTTCCAGAACAGTTAGATGTAGAGCTAACTTGAATGATTCAGAAAAATGTCACTCATACCATCTACCTAGGAGTATACTTGTCCCTGTTCATCCCACAAAAGGGAGATTCCCACAGCCACTGAGTAATTCATTTAAGTGTAGTTGCTTTTAATCAAGCCCTACGATGCCACAAATATCTCAAGCATGCCTTAGATAGCTGATACTACTTGTTAAAAGTCTTTTGGAGCAATGGCTAACTTTTCTGGACTAATTTTAGAGTATTTGACATAACTGCAGTATACAACAGCTTCCCACTAAATCAGGAAAAACCTTTTGGTTATCTCAGCGGAGAATTACCGCTTCAATGTGCTCCCTTCGGATTTAGTTCAACCTTGGGATTCACTGTTGGTAGCTGTTTTGGGACCGTGTGATTTTACAACTATATTTGAAACAAATCTTTCACAGACGTTGGTTCCATGTGAGTTTCTTATGGGAACATTTAAAATCATTTTTGAGATGAACTTTAGAAGAAGGTTGTGTCAAGGTAGATTTACTTTACTATCTCAAAACCTGGCCACTGCAAGCCGATGTGACATTTCCAAGGTCAGCCCTGCTCCCCTTCACCCGCTTTCTCTCCCTCATCAGTCCCCATGGTAGTAGAGACTGCATTCCTCAGTCTGGTACTTAGTGCTCAGTAATTGGCTCTTAAAAGAGTAATGCTTTAGGTAGAAAAGGCTGGATTCAGGCTACTTGACACCTGCACAGCAGACAGGTGTTCACACTTAAGACGATAGCACTTTTCCAGTATTGTTTCTTTTATAGTTTCATTTATATAGTTATTGAACAGCTAGCACATCTCTGTAGTTTAAATACACAGTGGGAAGTCTCTTTCCCACCCCTCTGCTCAGCTTCCCTTCACCTCTCCCTCCAAGTACAACTGGTAATGACTTTTTGTGGATTTTTCCAGTTTATGGATGCATATATAAGTAAACATGCCTATATATTCTTATATTCCATTTTTTACCTAAGTGGTAACCTCTACAAATTGTTTTATGTCTTACATGTTTCATGTAATTGTGTATCTTGGGGATCTTTTCCTGTCAGTGGATGGGAGCTTGTCTGCAGGAGGATTGCTGGGTAGTGGCCCTGCTGGTGAGTTAGGGCACAAGTTGTAAAGTGGCAGGTAATGCCCCAGTGCCTCCCAGGTTGGAATGCACCGCCACCAGAGTGCCACTTTCTCTGAGCCGCCAGCCCTGGAGTGCTGTGCAGACATAGGTGAGGGGAAGGGTGTGCATGGAGGGGACCAGGGAGCACTTGGCTCAGCTCTAATACATGTTTTTTAAAAGATAGGGCAAGTTAACATTTTAACTCAAAATTGTTCTTTCGCTAATTTGTTCGCTCTCTTTTCCAGTCTAAGGTGCTGAGTGTTTAATAAAAAATGTTGCCCAGAGGCAGAGAGGTAGATTTAAAACCATCTCTTGGGTGTTGGAAGGCACTGGGGGCATCTACTGGTACCCAAAGGAGGGATGGGACTGAATGAATGCTTCCGTGGAACTCCAGAAGGCTCCTGCAACACGCCCACCCCAGGATAGGCATTGCAACATACTGGCCCAGGGTAATGAGACCCTGGGAAGCTAAAATCAGTTGAACTGTGGTACCTGTTTTAATGACTCAGGTCTTGATGGAAGATGAGAAGGGAGAAAGTGTCCAGATAGGAAAAAAAAATTCAGGGGAGGCAAGACAGCCTGGCCCTTCCTGGTGCTTTGGCCACCCCCATCCGTGCCAGATCCACGTCAGTCATTCTCGTTTTCCTCTAAAGAACTTGGCAGTAAGGTGCACCATATTTCACAGTGCTGTCTATTAATTCCCAATGCTTTATCTATAAAGCATTTTTCTATATTTCAGTATCTGTACCTTTTCTAGGGTTTTAACAATCATCTTATTGTCACTTTTTAAAACTACATTTTATGTTTTGTCTCCTTGCTATGGGCTGTTTACTGGAAAATTGCACTAAAGCCACCTCTGGGGTATGTCAGTATAAACTAATAAGAATGTGGAACTATAGAATTTTGTTAAGAAAACTCATCGTTATTTTAAGATACAAAATAATTCAAATTAGGCAATGGGAGCCAAGAAAAAGACAGAAAAGACATGAACAAATTGCCTGAAAAGCGGTTTTAGTGTTCAGGTTTCCATTCCCGATTTGCTTGACAGCTTTTTCTTTAAATAATGGAAAGGTGCACGTCAGCATTAGTCGGTGTCTGAATGACTTTAACAGGCTGCATTCCAACCTGCAGATAGACAACTTGAAAGAGGGCAATAGGCCCTTCCACATCTGGCCATTATCTTATTTCCAGTCTTATAGGCTGTACTCTTGCAGTTCTCACTTGGGAGCCTCCCAGCATTTTGTAACAAAGAATTAGGTCGGGAAAGCACTTCTTGTCCCTGTAGGTGGAGACCCTAAGTCTCACTTAGTCTCCACTGGTTGTTACCTTAAGGAACACTGAGCCACCACTTTTTTTTTTAATAGCTTAATTGTGCTATAATTTACTTCCAGAAAATATACCCATTCTAAGTGTACAATTCAGTGAATTTTAGTAAATATGCAGTGTGTTCAGCTTTCACCTCAAGCTAATTTTGGAACATTTGCATCACCTCACAAAGATCCTTCATGCTTGTTAGCCCTGGCAACTGCTCTGTTTTCTGTCTCAGTGGTTTTGCCTTTTCTAGATATTTCATATAAATGGAATTATATGATATGTAGCAGTTTGCTTCTGGTTTCTTTCACTTGGCAGAATGTGTTTGAGGTTCATCCATGTTGTCGCACGTTTCACGTTCATTTTATTGAATTGTATTCCATTGTATGGATATACCACAAATGTCCACCCATCAATGGACATTTGGATTTATCCGGTTTGGGACTATTAAAATAATGGTGCTATGTACATTTGCATATGTTCATTGTAGAGATATGTTTTCATTTCTCTCAGATTTCTAGGAGTGGAATTTCTGGGTCATAAGGTA